CACCCCAGTCCCAGCATCTGCTGCCCCTCATGGCTCTCCCAGATCTGCCTGCTCACCCTGCTGGTCCAGGGCACTGTCTCCTCTCCTACAGACTATCGAAAAGGCTTCCTGTCAAGTCTTGCTTTCCTCCTGGCTTTCCCTAATCCACTCCACCGCCACACAGCAGCTGGAATGAGAGGTCTACAGCACAAATCCAGTCAAGCCTGCTAGGTCTCTGCCATTCTTGACTTTGCTTACAAGATGCTTCAAGAAGCGCCAGCCCAAGCCTTTGCCCCAAGCCCCATCTCTCGCCAGGGCTGCTCCAGCCTGCCCTGCGGTCAGGCTGAATTTCTCAGTGGCTTGCTCTCTGTTGGTGTCACTTGCAGGACAGTACCCTCTGCATGGAATGCACTTCCCACCCATTCCCAATCCCCTCCTCTAAGCCTCCTTCCGACTGGTCCTCCCTCCCTCCCCGGACCCTGGGAGACAATTTTTCCACGGAAGTGGGTGGGTGGGCGGATGGTTCCGGCGGTAATGCGAGCGATGGGGAGCGGCAGATGAAGCTTCGCCCTCCCGCCTCTCACCTCCTGCTGTGCGGCCCGGTTCCTAACAGGCCGCGGACCGCTACCGGTCCGCAACCCGGGAGCTGGGGACCCCTGCTCAAGGGCACTGGCCGCAGCGCAGTAGGAACTACAACTCCCAGCAAGCCCCGGCCTGCGGCGTCTCGAGCCCGCGGCGGTTGCCTAGCGACCGGGCGTGTCCCGGAAGGCGCGCCGGCTCCGGCGGGACTTCCGGGGCGGTGGTTGCGTCAGATTCTGGGAAGCTGTCGGCGCGGCGGTGAGTGCGGCATTCCAACGATGGCAGGTTCTTCCGCGGAGCACGGTGAGTGCGCGCGGCGGGCGGGCCAGCGGGGGCGACCCCGGGCCGAGGGGCGGAGGGGCCACCGGGGATCTGAGGGGGCGCCAGGTCCCTGAGGGGCGGGTCTGAGGGCGCGCAGAGGGCGGGGCGCGACCCCCGGGCCCCCCCGGCAGGCCCAGCTCCTCCAACCTCGCGGGGACCCGGCTCCGGACCCGGAACTGCCGAGGCCACCCCGTCCCCAGCCCCGGTCCCCTCCTTGGGTCCTCCAGGTTCCATTGCGCCTTGACCCCAGGACGTGGCCGTGCGTTTCCCTCGCCGGTCCCTGGGCCGGACCTCGCCCCTCCTGTCCCCTGGACTTTGGGGAACGGGCACAGCCCTAGGGTTGTTTTCGTTTCCGCCCAGCCCGGGCAGCACCCGGGTTGGCACTTAGGAAAATGGGGCCGAGGAAACAGGGTACGCGGACATACGGGAAAGGGCTTGGGGTTTTACGAAGGCTTTCATCTGCGGCTGCAGACAGTGGCCATTGGGACCTGAGTGGTCACAGCGTTATTGCCGCCTCCGAGGTTCCGTGAGCAGCTCTGGCTCTGCCCACCAGAGTCACTCGTGTCGCCAGCCGGTAGACACGCCGCCCACAGGCAGACTCCAAGGAGCGCTGGGCCCTTGCTCCCCTCCCTCAGGCAAGATTGTAGGTGCCAGACAGACCGGAGGTTGTCCCTGGATTCCCGAGTCTGGAGCAGACTTTCTTCAGGAAGAACTCTCAGTGTGTAGTTTTTATTGCCCGGGCTGCCGGGTTTAGGCTGTGCAGGCTTCCTGGAGCCCTGTGATCCCTCTTGCTCCTGGGCTTCCAGGCGGGGAGCTCTGACCACCTGGGTAACCCAGTGACGTGGGAGGCCCCTGATGACAGGGCTGCTGTGGTACCCACCTTCCGGGCGCCCCGCATTCCACCCGACAGGTGTGCCTGGATTCCAGCACCATCTCTACCCACCTGGAGCCTCGGCCCTCAGCCCTCAGAAGTGCACCCGGACTCCTGTAAAATAGCAGCGTGGTTGACACCCCAGTCTTCTGAGCGAGCCGGGCTGGGGGCCCACCTCTGCCCCTTCCTCATGTGCAGCAGGGTAACACGTCTCCGCTCAGAGGATGTAGTGGGCATTAAAGGGGCTGGTAGAGGTTAAGGCTTTAGAAGAACACTTGGCATGAAACGGGCGCTGTGTCCGGGTTGAGAGGCCGAGCTTGTTTCTTTTCTCTCTTTCTTCCTTCCCTTTTCATTTGTGAACACAACTGACGTATTCGATTTGGGGGTTTTGGTTTTTTTAATTGCTTCGGAACTTGAGGTTTTCAGAGCCTTGGTAAGAACTGGCCTGTTTCTGGAGATTGATACCAGAGTTCTAGATATTCTTGGTTTCCGGGTTCTGAATGCTTTTCATTCTCAAGGTTGGATTTATCGTAAGTGACCATCTTTCCGGACTTTTAAAGGAGACCCTCGTTTAGAATATTCTTCCCATTTCTGGTCGTCTTCCTTAAGTTGGCTCAGAATGTTCATTTGGTTCCCTGCCACTGGGGTTAAAGCTTTTCCTTTGTAGCTTGAATGTGCAGCCTGTTCCAGGGCCCAGTTTTTTTAGAAAGACGAGTCTCATCCCTGAGGACCCCGGGGTGGATGGAGCGCGTCTCAGAGGCCTTGCCCTGCAGATCGGGCCTCTTTGGTAGCTGTGTGTTAGGTCAGATTTGCAGTTTAATTTTTTATGCAGTTTACTTCAAAGGTTCTTCGTAATAACAATACAGCTAGCTTTTTTTCGTAGCATGAGTCTGCGCTAAATACATCTGCGGGGGGCCTGTAATCCTCAGAGCAACCCTTATCGATACTGCCCTTATCTTCCTGTGCAGGCAAGAATCCTGAGGTTCAGAGAAGTTAAGTGATTTGTCCAAGGTCACACAGCTAGGCAGGGCCTGTGTGACTGCAGCAGGGATGTTGACTGCTCTGCCTTGCTGCCTTTGATGACTCTATTCAGATGAACAGCAAGCGCCCCAATTCCAGAGTACATCAAGGCAGACAAGAGGAGGGAGCTGATACACTTTCCTGTGTTTCCCATTGAAAAAATGAAATGTACGTATTTACAGACTACAGACATTTGCTCATCCCTGAACCCACAGTCTCCTGGTATTTACACTTTAAGAGTTGTGAGAGATAGTGCCCTTCGGGGGGAGATTAAACCGTTCCCAGTGTCCACACTGCTGTCCCCGGGCAGTGGTGCCATCTGATCACCTGTGTGTCCTCAGGGCATCAGGTCACGATGCTCCTCATGACCTAAAAATCCCACGTGAAAGATTCGCATCTGCTATTTCTGTGGGAAATTGCCCGTGAGTGGTTCAAAATAAATTCCTTAAATAGATCTGTCACTTTATTTATTCAGTAGCTGGGCGTGGAGATGCAGCATGCCTGGAGGAGCCTCACGGTCCAGCGGGGCGGGGTGGCCGGAGCCCAGAAGCCCAATGCCTCCCCAGGTTGCATGGGCCATTCCACTCTTGGTCACTTCCCAGTGCGTGTGCTGCCGGGTGGCCTGAGTCTACGGAGGTGGTTCAGGGCCCACAGGCCCCTTCCCTCTAAGGCGCCACAATCTGCCAGAAACTTGGCCGGGTCCTCCTCTGCCAGCTGCCCCGTGGGCAGGGTGGAGTGCAGGGAATCACACCGGAGGCCCTGCCGGGCCAGGTCCTGATGCTGCTGTGGGCGTTAGCCTGCTGGCTGAGCCCGGCCCCAGAGCCCCGAGGCAGAGGGCCTGGATCTGGGGAGCCCCCTGTGCTCTGCTCCTGAGGGAGGGCCTGGCTGCAGGGCAGGTAGGGAGCCTCCCGAGAGAGGTTGGAAGCTGACCCTGGAGAAAAAAGGGGAGCGGGAGTCCTGGCAGAGAGCACCTTGTGCACTAAGACCTGAGGGCCAGCAGCACTGCTTTCCAGCAAGTTCCTGAGGCCAGAGGGTGGAGGGGGGCTGGACATGGGCCACAGGACCAGGTCTGCAAGGGCCTTGCGCACATTTGCGGAATTTGGGTCTTGTCTTTGCGTTCTGGCAAGATGTCTGCCCCCTCCCCAGCGTGTACCAAGGCAGGGAGAGGAGGAAGAACCCAAGATGGTGGTAACCGGTGGCCTGGGCCTGTGGCGGTGGTGGGTGTGAGAAGTGGACAGTCTGGGGAGGACCGGGGCAGGTGCTGGGTTTGCCGTGGGATGAAAGAAACAGCCACCCAGCTTCAGACCCAGTGGGGAAGGTGGCTGTACCGTTCCCGGACTTGCACCCAGTTGGAGGGCGAGACATGATGCTTGGGAGCACCCTGTGGACAAGTGACCACTGGGCCTCCGGGGCTGGTGCTCAGGACAGAGGGGGGCGCTAGAGAGGACCTGTGGGAGGAGGTCCTGGGTGCTGGGAGTGGGTGGCATTGCCACCAGGTGCACGCACCTCTGTCCTTTATGAGATTCGTGTGAGGAGGGGATGCATTCGTTCGAGAAGGCTTTTCCAGTTCCCGTTCTGAGAGCCACCTGGGCAGGCTGGGAAGCCCCACAGGAAAGAAAACTGGGCCTGAAGAGGGGCCCAGGGGGAGGGGCCGCTGCAGAGGCGGGCCAGGGAAGCTGGAGGAGCCTTTGCAGAAAGGACCTGATCCACAGGGCCGGGTGCCGCCGGGGCCTCGCAAGGTGTGGACCCGAGAGGCCTTCAGCAAGTGCGGGAGGGGTGCAGACCCCCTCTGCGCCGGGCCTGGGAGCTTAGGACGAAGGCAGACCTGCGGTGAAGGGGCCTGCGCTTCAGCGCGCCGCCTGGGGGCTCTTGGCAGCTGAGCTCTGCACCCGCCCCACCCAGGTTCCGATTCCAAAGGTCTCAGGTGGGCCTGGAATGGGGTGCTTCCAGGAGCTGGCCCTGCTGCCACTGCGCAGGAGCCTCACTGAGCGGGAGCCTGGCTGGAGCAGAGAAGGGGGTGGGAGAAGGCAGGCCACGGGGCTGTTGTCCAGCAGGTGTGAATGCTGATGGGAAGGGGCCAGGGGAGGTGACGGCCTGGTGTGAATTCGGTTCCTTACCTGGTTCTTGCGTTTGTGCGAGTTCAGTAAGCGTTTTCTAAACTGTGAAGACCACGGTCCATGTTTAGGGCCTTCCCACAGTCAGAAGGTGTGTGTCCTGCGATGCGTTTCTGGATGGACCTGCAGTGGACCTGGCGGTGGGCGTGGTGCGTGCGTGGGGCTCCCTGGGGAGGGCCAGTGTGGCCAGTGGGCGCCCTGCTCAGGAACCATCTCCTGTCATCTTGGCATCACGGGCTGATAGCCAGACCGCAGTCTGGCCCAAACCCAGGGCCACTTGAAAGCTGACCAAGTTTTAAATTTGTTTCCTCAAGTTACGCTTAGACGCAGCTGCCACAGTGACCCCATGACTGTCCCCCTTTGCCCTGCGGGCTCCCAGCTCCAGACGGGGCTTTTTAAATGCGTGTGTGATCCCTGGGTAAACTCCTCCAGGGCAATTTCAATGGTAGTAATACAGGAGCGATTAAAATAATAGCAATGGCAACTGCTGGGCGCTGGCTGTGTGCCCAGCAGTATTTCAAACAGTTTACAAGTGTAATTTCACTAATGCTCAACAGCTTTACCAGGCGTGTGTTGTGTGAGCCTGATTTACCCTTGAGAGGAGCCCGCTGAGCGCTTGTCCCCCAGCTGCTTCAGTAGTGCTTTAAAGCCATCCTGTCGGTAGAACGCTTGACGTGGTTTTCTCCTTGTAAAGAAAACATATGCTTATTGTAGAAAATGTGTGCAGCGAAGGAAACAGAGGGAAATAAAATGCCCTGTGAGCGCACTCCTCCAGGGTAGCCATCGTCAAGGTCAGGCAAGTTCCCGGGGGTCTCTGTTCCCTGGAGTAGTTCCGGAGTGAGGGAAGTCTGTCTGTCCAGTGCTGTCCCGGGGGTAAAGGGGCAGGGGGAGCTGGGAGACCACACGGCTTCTCAGAGAGGGGCTGTCACCTCTGCTCCCTTCCCCTCCCTCCTGCGTCCTGGCGTAGATGGCTACACCAGAGAGATGCTCGGAGACGGAGACGGGGAGAGGGAGCTTGGAGGCTCGGTGTCGGGTGGCCAGCTGCCGAAGGATGGCCTGGCCCACTTGGGGATGCGTCCCCCCCGCCCCCACCGCCCCGGCTCTGTCCACCCTCTGGCAGGTCCTCTGACTTAGGTTTCGTGAACTGAATTTTCTCCATCACGAGAAAGGAGCTTGCTTCCCGACTCCTGACAGGCTGGCAGGGCTGCCGGGGAAGCGTGCCAGGTGCAGTAAAGTTCCCTGGAAGGAAGACTCGGTGCCAAGGAATTTATGTAGAGTTAGGTTTCCCGGTGCCCAGGACCGCCCTGGCAGGCGCTCCTTCCTTCTCCCTGGGTGGGAGAGAGCTGTCCTGTCAGAGAGGGGTGGGGGGCACAGACCCACCTGGCCTTCCTTCACTGTCTCAGAGGGGATCCGAGCCCTCGGGCTGGGTCCTTAGAGCCAGCCACCTGCTCCCGGGAAGGAAGGCGAGCTGGCTGGCGCTGCTCCAGGGCGCTCGTGGGTTCCCCAGGGTTCCCACTGGCACCTTGGGCGGGAGGGGCCGCCTCTGTGTCTCTCTTTGCTTCCTCCGACACTTCCAAGAACTGGGGTGGAAAGTATCTGCTTCTCCTGGTAGGTCACGAGTGGAACAAAAGCAGCCCCCCCTGTAGGCGTGTGCCCTTGGGCAGCAGGGCTCCAGCTCAGCCCGCCACGGGGGTTAGAAGCCTTCTTAGACTCAGCCGGGTCCCCACCCTGGTTCCTGTGTATCGGGCGCTTCCCAGGAGAGGGCTTACGAGGCCCCGGAATGACAGGTGATGCCGGCCTCCCGCGGGCAGGCCTGCACTTCGAGGTACATTTGCCGCCCATCCATTCGTTCAGCAAATTCACTGAGTGTCTTCAGAACGTTCCGGGCTTGGTTCTAGAGGTTGAGCATATGCTGAGTGAATGAATCGGATAAAATCCCGGGGGGGTGGGGCAGGCAATAAAGGAAAGAAAGCAGGGAAGTGTGTGTGTTAGAAATAAGCGCTATGGAGAAATAAAGCAGGAAGGGGTCGGGGCCCCGGGGGGCGCGGGGGGGGTCACTTGGAACAGTGCCCGGGAGGACCCAACGGAAAAGGGGACACCCGTGGAGCCCCGAGAAAGGGAAGGAGGCTGGCTGTGTCTCGGGGAGGCTTCCAGGCAGGCAGGGCAGGGGGCATGAGGGGCGGGGGCGGGAGCTGAGGTCAGAAGGGTGTGGCGGCCCTCCTGGCCGGCGCGAGGACCGCTCTTGGTGGGACGGGGGTCTAGAGAAGGAGCGTGGGCCACTCTGGCCACGGCGCCCTGCGAAGCCCGGACACCAGCGGGGGCGCCTGCGTCCCAGGGTCCAGGCGAGAGAAGGGCTGGACCTGCCATGGCAGTTGGGGTGAGAGGGCTGGGTTCCGGGTACGTTTAGAGGTGGAGGCCTGCACTGTCCAAGGGCGTGGCCCTGGGTGTTCTGAGGGTACTCTGTAACGGGCAGAAGGGTATTCCTAGCCGTGCGCCTCAGGGCCACCCTGGGCTGGCGCCCCCGCGGTGCAGTGGGCAGGCAAGCAAGCCAGTCTTCCTGGAAAGCCTGGGCCTGAGAGCCCAGGGAAGACATTTCCCTGGTGCCCACGCCTTTCCTGGGGATGAAGAGGTCGGGGTTCAGGAGGTCCCCAAGAAGCCAGCCTCCGGGAGGCTGGGCCCTGGGTGGTCGCAGCCCCTCCCTGGGGCACCTCAGGGCACCCGGAGGTGCTGCCAGCTTCGGCCCTTCTTCTGTTGGCCCCTTCCTCTCAGCCCCGTGCCCGGGAAGGCAGCCCCGGGCGGGCCCTGACGGAAGGGTTTCCCGCCGTGGAGACGGTGCAGCAGGGTCTTGTGTGCACAGCTGCTTCCCCGCACGTGTGCTCTGCTGCCTGTTTGCAGGCGTCCTGTGGGCTTGGTCGGGGCGAGGTTCCTGTTTCTGTGCCAGGCCTGGCCGGCGTTGGCCCACATCTCTCCGCTCGGAGCCGTCCCGCTCTGGGTCCAGCATGGTGACCCAGGGACCTCGTGGTGTCAGGCAGCTGGCTGCGAAGGGCTGCGGTGTCAGGGTGTCTGCCCCGTTCCCAGGGAGAGTGAGAAGCTGGGCTCATGCTGTCCCACTTGGAGCTGACTCCGGGGCTCAGGGTGTGTCTGTGTGGAAGGGAACAGGCGCTGGGCCCTGTTCACACTCATGGACTAGGGGACCAGGCTCCCTCCTGCAGCTTCAGGGGCTGGTCTGCGCCCCTCCCCCCTGATCTACTGCTGCGCCCCCGCAGCCAGCAGGTGATGAACGCATCCACAGGGTAGTTGGAGCAGTGATTGGGGACGCAGGGAGGAGGTGAGGGTCTCAGGGGCAGCGGGGGGAAGGAGGGGCTCAGTGGAGTCAGTGCCGTCTGCCGGCTGTGCCTGCTGCCTGGTCCTCACTCGGGCTGGGCTTCCGTCCTCCCACATCCTTCCTGAGAATTCCAAGGCAGAGGAGTGGCCTCAGGTCCCTGAAGGGGGGCAGGCCTGTGCCAGGTGCTGGCTGGACGGTTGGCCCCCTCTGGCAGGCATTTCCAGGGGCGGGGCCATGGTCCTCCCAGGAGCTGGGCCTTGGCCGCTAGAAGCCCTCACTGGTGCCGGGTTTGAAGAGCTCTTCAGTTCTCACGTGCCACCCATCGCCCACCCAGGGGCTGGTCAGCACCAGCCCTCCCAGCACCCAGTGCACAAAAGGGTGTGTGCGTGTGTGTTTCTCTTTAATTGAGGTGAAAATCCCCAACGATGGAACTAACCATTTTAAAGTGCACAGTTCAGTGCATTTAGAACATTCACAATGTTGTGCGACCACCCCCTCTGTCTAGTTCTAAAACATTTTCATCCCCAGATGGGAACCCACTGGCAGTCACTCCCCACTCCGTCCCCCAGCCCTGGGCACCCGCCTGTTCTGGACATTTCCCAGCCGGAAGCGTGACCCTGGGACCCCGTTCTCTGGACTCACTCAGGCCTCCAGCCCCACTGACGCGTGTGCCTCTGTCTTTGCAGCTCCCGACTACAGGTCTGTCCTGAGCATTAGTGACGAGGCAGCCAGGGTGCGGGCCCTGAACGAGCACCTGAGCACGCGTAGCTATGTCCAGGGCTTCTCCCTGTCCCAGGCGGACGTGGACGCGTTCAGGCAGCTCTCAGGCCCTCCTGCCGACGCGCAGCTCTTCCACGTGGCTCGGTGGTTCAGGCACGTGGCCGCGATCCTGGGCAGCCCCCGCGCCCCAGCCCCACCCTGTGGGCTCCAAGCAAGTGAGTAGCAGAGCGGCTCCCCGGCTGTTAGAACCTCCCCTCGAAGTTCTGTTCACACTCATGGGCTAGGGGAGCCCACGAGTGTGACCTCCCTCTGAGGTCAGGGCCCTGAGGGTGTGAGGCGCCCACGGGGGAGCCCGCGGGGCTGGCGCTTGTCCCCGCACTCGAGCAAGCAGCCTGGGGGGGCTGCCAGCGCCCCCCGAGGGGAGATGAGGACAAAACGCCGAGAGGTCAGCCCCCAAGGATCACGACCCCGGCGGCTGCCGTAGCAGAGCCTCTGGGAGGGGGAAGACCTGTGCCCCTCTCAGGGCCGGCCTTGGCCGTCAGCTCACTCCCGACCTGGCTCGGATTTGATTGGCTTCTTTTCCTTCATTCTCTCCCTAAGATTGCAGGGTGTGTGTCCACCAGATTTAGAATTATTGGATCTTAAGGAAGTATTCATGGACATGAACTCTTTGGAAACCAGAGAGAAGGCGTTTCTGGGCTTTGAGATAAGACCAGTCTGGCAGCTCTGGCCCCCACCTGTCGGTGTGATGTGTCTGGACCCCGTCATTTCGGGGGTGCTTCTGGAAAGTCTCTGGGGCGCATGGTTCCTGGCTGGTCTCTCTCCTCCGGTGAATCGAGGTGCTTCTCCCATAATCGCCGGTGCCCTCAAGCGGTTCAGCCTCCCCAGGGGGGCTTCGAGCACACACCCAAGCAGCGACAGGGGTCCAGTGCCGTCTGAGTGGTCCCTGCTGGGCTGGGCAGCCTGCGGGGGCCTTTTCCACATCCCTTCGGCTGGGATGTTTGGACCGTTTCCCAGCTCCTACACCTCTGCCTGGTCTCTGCTGGGTCCCCCTCTGTAACGGGGCAGAGGTGGGATGTCGTTTCTCCAAGCATGGGACGTGTTTTGGTTTTCTTGGTGATCCTGCAGCAGACACCCCTTCCCCGGCATAGGTGGGAGCCTTGCTGTGTAGACTGTCTCCTCCCCATGCCTCCAGGCGGTGACCCAGGGGTGTCTGTGGTGGCAGGTGCTTCTCTCCCAGGGCTCAGTTGTCACCTTGTCCCCCAGGTCCCCCCTCCCAAGGCACGGCCTCCAGGGGTGGAAGTCAGGGTGGGTTGGGGGCATGGCCTCGGCACGGCCTGTCTGGTGTTCCGTCCGGGGAACTTGTGGGGAGAGTGATGCAGACACACGTGAGGGAAAGGCGGGTCTCTGCCCTGCCAGTCGGGGGGCCTGCAGGTTCACCAGGGTGGTGAGGGAGGCACCTGGATGGCGCCGACAGGACTATTCACCTCCTTCCATTTCCAAGTCCTCCATCACCAATGCCTCCCGGGGGCCGGCAGGGACCCCGAGTGGCCGGGGACGGCGGGTGGGCTGGTGTCCAGAACCCCCAGAGTCGGTGTCCTAGGCCGCGTCCTGGATGCCAGTGACCGAGCGTCCGCCTCCCCGCATCGCTGGCCCGTCTCAGACATCTCTCCAGCCTGTCCTGGACGGGAGTGCCCCCTCTCCCAGCCCCTCGATCCCCAGCGCCCTGCTGGCCTTCCCTCCATGTCCCACTCCTGCTCGAGACCCCCAGCTGGACATCTCAGCACCGATATGCCCACAACTGGCTTGTCACCGTCCTCTGTGCTGGCCCAGCCTAGGTTCCTGTGCCTCTTGCCGTGGCCATGGGCCTCAGCAGCCCCGGGGAGCCACTCAGACACAGGAGGTGGACCAGGGCTCTGCCTAAGCCCCTTCCCCACCTCTCTGTTCCTTCTCTCACCCCCTCCCCATCTTGTCGCCTCTTCTCTGCGGCCCCAGCAGGGAGGGTCCACTGTGCTCAGGGTTTCGGCCCTGCTGTGCTCTGTGTCTGGAGCGCCCCTCGCCCAGAGCGGGGCTCAGTCCAGATGGCTCCTCCTCCCACGGGCGCCCTCACCCCCTACCCACCCTCCTGGGAAGGATCTTCAGGGCCTGCCCTTCACTGAAGAAGGCGTGTTAAATCCCCCAGGGCGTGGGTCTGTCTGCGGCTGGGTGGGGTCTTCAGGGGTGTGAACCTCTCTGCTGCCCCTCCTCCGAGGCTGAGGTGTGCGCAGCGCCCAGGGGACCGGGGACCTGGCTGGTGCATCTCCCTCCATATCCCCTCGGCACCCTCCCTGCCTAGAGCCTCGTTCTCAGGGCGTCCCTGAGCTGCACGTGCAGGTTATGTTGTCAAAGGTCAGGGGTTTGTTTCCCCACAGCAGCCACGTGCCTGGGGCAGAGCCGGGGCAGGACTGGGGGTGCTAGCGAGCAAAGGCATTCGCAGTGTTTCAGACAAACCAGAGGAAGGGCAGACGCCTCAGGAGGTCTGTGTCGGGGTAGAGGAGGGTACCGTCAGTGCAGGTTGTTGGTTGTCGGGGCAGGGAATCGCGGAGGGACTCTGGTGAAGCTTACTTCTTGTTAAACTGAGGTAACACCTCCCGATTTTTCCCTTTGGCAGATGGGGGTTGTGTGTGCCGGTTTCCTTGAACTGTCACTGGCTGTGTGGCTGCAGCCACGCTTTGGGGAGCAAGGAAGCTCAGGTGTGACCCGGTGTCCTGGACAGTGTCCCGCTGGCCGGGCTCCCTGGCTGCACCCTCAGCTGTGTCCTGTCACTGCCGTCTTTTCGGATGAGCCTTCGGTCCCACGGACCCCGAGCCCCCCACCCCGGCCCCTGGCTCAGGGCGAGCACGGTGGTCGTCAGGCTCACATCAGTGTGTGGGCAGCTCTCGCCAGCGTCCCCTGTTGTCCCAGGTGGCAGCTGTCTTTGTGTCGGGAGCCGCAGCATCTAAGCAAGGGGAGGGGTTGATGGAGTCATAAAGGGGCAGGTGGAGAGTCATCAGATCGTTTGCTGCATTTACAGTGAACCCTTAGACCATGCCTGACCTCAGGAGGCATTCGAAGTGTCAGGGGGACTTGGGCTTGGCCACCTGAGAGTTTGCTGGCACTCCCTGGGGTCAGGAGCTGCTGGATAGCGCCGTCTGTCCCCCTCCCCGTCTGCCGCTCTCTGCCCGCCTGCACACATGTACACACACACACACAGCCACCTCCCACCCCCTTCACCGGTCAGTTGCGTGCATCCTCTGGGTGGCACGTGGCCAGGCCCAGGGCTGAGTGCTCTGTGACCTGCAGTAGGGAGCAGCGGGTGGTCGCCTGGTGGCCACACTGGACATGGATTCTGTGCCGGGAGGAGGGAGAATCGCTTTGCAGACACAGAGGCAGGGGTCGGGGTTAGGGGTGGTGCCGAGAGTGGGCACCTGTGCCCCCAGGTGTGCAGGCGGTGTGCAGCCCGCGCTGGCTCCGAGAGAGGGCTGTGGAGCACAGCTGGGTTCTGGGTACAGGAGCAGCACCTTGTGGGTAGCTGGAAGGTCACCAGATGCCCAGGGCATGTGAAGACTCAGCTTGGTGGCTCTTCCCAGCCCAGGGACTGGAGCTGCACCCCGCCAGGCTCTTGGGGCGCAGGCTGTGTAAGGCCTGCCCTTCGCCCAGCGGGAGGCGTGTGCGCATGAGCAGCAGGGGCAGGGGGCGGGGCTGGAGGAGGAGGAGGTGGGGCTGCCGGGGGACGAGGCTCTGCCCCGTGAGCCCCTGACCTCAGCGTGGGGAGGACCCGGAGCTGCTCCCAAAGGCCTCCGGGGCCCATGTGGAGCCGTGAGTGCCGGCATCAGCACCGTGTCCGGTAGCCTACATGTCGCCCGGGCGGGGGGCAGGAACTGCGTGGGGAGCCGGCCACTGGCCCGCAGCTGTTTCCGTCCTGACCTGGCTTCTGCGCCTGGAGGTGGCCCACGTCCTGTGAAGCCTCCACGGAGCCCGTCCTCCTGGGGGGGTGGCCAGCTGCGTTGCGGTCCAGGCGTGCGGCCGGCCCATGTGCAGGGCCCGCGCCTCCCGTGCGCCCTCCGTCTGGGTCAGGCGCCTTGTGCTCGGAGCCGGCGGAGGGGAGGCTGGGTGTAATGGGCCTTCTCCCGCCCCGTGGGGTTGGGACTATGGGATGCGCCGCCACTCAGACGTGAGCAGGCAGAGAGGGGGCACGAGCGCTGGACGCGGGTGATGCTCTCAGGGTCCACTTTCCCCTTGTCCCACGGGTGACCCAGCTGTGCTCTCTCCATGGCAGGTAGAGGCCGGCGCACACAGCCCCCGTGGTCTCCTCCAGCCAGGTCCGAGCCGTGCCAGCTCCGCCTGTACAACAGCCTGACCCGGAGGAAGGTAGGGGGGCCTGGGGGGCAGGGGCGGCGGCTCTTAGCTAGTCGGTGAGCGTCCTCTGTGTGGCCGGGGCAGGGCTGTCCTCGGAAGCACACCTGGCACGCCTCAAGGGGCCTGCCTATCGGCACTCTGGCTCTGGCTGTGCTCAGGGCCCGAGTGTAGATGCTCGTGACTGCTCCGAGCCAGGCCAGGAGCCAGCGTGCTCTTGCAGGGGACCCGTGGTGGCAGCTGGTGTCCCAGTGCCAGCCAAGCAGGGCCTGTTGCTGTCAGGGGCCCAGCAGGTGTGGGGACGAGGGCAGTATCGGCCGGGGCCACTCAGCAGGCCAGTGGCTCCAGAGATTTTGAAAAGGACTCCGGCCGAGGGCTCATTGGATTGCCGTCAGCAAGCACCCTGAGCAGATGGGAGACGGGGTCCCCTTCATGGACTTAATTGGTGACAGCGGCCCCTGAACTGGTCTGAGACCATCGGGCCGTCAGCCGGAGGCCTCGCTCTCTAGGCTGGCTCCTCTGGGATTGCGGACCCCCGGGCATCTGTGAAAGGAAACATCCCCGCTCACGTTGTTCCTGGGGGCAAAGGCAGGGCAGTCCCTGCGCTCAGCACAGGGCCTGGCTCGCAGCAGGTGCTTGATGAATGGAAGCTGCTCTTGTTAGAGCAGCAAAAGCAGGAGCGTCCGTCTCCTTGACCCCCCAGCTTGCGTCCACGAGTGGGATCCCAGGGAGGAAGAGGCCTGCCCCCATCCCAGTTGACTGTGACTTTCCCGTAAAACTAAGCAGTCCTCATGGAATGTGTATGAACCATTTGTCTCTGGCGGCTGTGGTCCTGCACGGTGCCTCCTGCATCCTTTGTGACAGTCATTCCTTCATTTCCAACCAAGGACGTGTTTGTACCTCAAGATGGGCGGAGGGTGACGTGGTACTGCTGTGGGCCCACCGTCTACGACGCCGCCCACATGGGGCACGCCAGGTAGGGCTGCACCGGGCGCCGCTGCAGGGACCCAGTGGGGCACGCCAGGTAGGGCTGCACCAGGCGCCGCTGCAGGGACCCAGGCTCTGAGAGCAAGCTCAACGCCCAGCCTTTCCTCTTCTTTTTATTTATTTATTTATTTATTTATTTTTATTTTTTGCTGTACACGGGCCTCTCACTGCCATGAACTCTCCCGTTGCGGAGCACAGGCTCCGGACGCGCAGGCTCAGCGGCCATGGCTCACAGGCCCAGCCGCTCCGCGGCATGTGGGGTCTTCCCAGACCGGGGCACGAACCCACGTCCCCTGCATCGGCAGGCGGACTCTCAACCACTGCGCCACCAGGGAAGCCCTCCTCTTATTTTTAAGAAGAAAAATTTTCATTCTGTCAGTACTACATATTCACTGTAGAAAAACTAGAGACCAGAGAACCCAAAAGAAAAGCCCACAGCCCCGGTGTTATTACTCTCCTGGACTCTGACCAGATACTTTCCTCCGTGTGCCTGGCAGTTCCTCCTCATCCGAGGCTCTGGAGGTGGGGGGTGGGGGGTGCCCGGTGCTGGGATCCCCGACACCCAGACCCGTGGCCAGTGTGCAGTGTCCCCCGCCCCGCAGTCACGAGTGGGGTGGGCATGAGAGTAGCGGCTTTGGGGGGAAATGCGGGGGATCATTTTCCTTGTACGTGTTTTAACTGCAGAGCCAAGGTGATGTGCATGATGTGCTGTGTGGAAAGGTTTGTCTTTTTATTGCTCTAGGTCCTACATCTCCTTCGATATCTTGAGAAGAGTGCTGAGAGATTACTTCAAATTTGACGTCTTTTATTGCATGAACATCACAGACATTGATGATAAGGTAAAGGGAGTTTTCAACGTTAAATTTTAAATACAGTGGATGGTACAAGGGAAGAAATGACTTTGGGTAAGTTAATAAAGTAACGTCGGCTTGAGTGCCCTCAGCCCAACACATGCTGTTTGAATCCCCTCTGGGACTTGTATCAGGGTTTATGCAGATGATGTTGTCCTGTATTCAGCTGTTTGGATGCTGTTGGGAAACCTGGGGAAATGTTAATAACAGCTGGTGCTCCAGGGAAGGCACGTGCTATAGTGTCCGGCGCTGTGCGGAGGCCGGGCCTGGCTCAACATGTTCGGACAGTTCCGGCGTCGGTGGCGGGGTGGTGTGTGTGGGTGTGAGCTCAGGCACCACCCAGCGCTCTGCACAGGGACCCGGCAGGTGCTGAGCTGACCCCCATTTCCCTCCTCTGCTCCCAGATCATCAAGAGGGCCCGGCAGAACTACTTGTTTGAGCAGTACCGGGAGAAGCAGCCCCAGGCAGTGCAGCTCCTGGAGGACGTGCGCACCGCCCTGCAGGTGGGCCCCCTGCCGCTCCTGGGTCCCTACGTCCCCACATCCCTGTCCCAAGCGAAGGGGCTGTCCTCGGCGCGCTTCACAACGTGTAGGGTCATGACGTCTCGGTCGTGGTGCTCCCCTGGCCCATGGGGAAAGCCGCCAGGACGGACGCACACGGGTGGGGCAGGGGGCTGGGTGACCGTTGCTGCCGTTTTACGGGAGAACCTCAGAACCAACCGGTCACGGCGATCTGCGCCGACTTGTGAATCTTCCACGTGGAGCTCACGAGCAAGTGACACGCGTGTGACCAAGACGCAGAAGCTGTGCTAAACTTCTCAAATGGGTGGTGCTGGAAATTTCTGGAATTATTTGAAGAAATTCGTCCTTTCCAATTTAATATTTTTGTTTTGAATAAACAGTATTACAAATGATGGCGTCATACAGTGAGGTCAGGAAAAGGCATTTTCTTCTTTTCCATAATTGTTATCTTTAGTAATTGCAGTAACGATTGCTGTTGTGCTTTTCATGTTTTATCTCTGGAAGAAAAAAGTAGGAATAAAATTAGGGCTTAGCAATCCTCTAGGCGGACGAGGGGGGGTCCGCTGGGCTGTGGAGCCTTCGTGGTGGCAGGTGACACACCCGCGTGCCCAGGGCACGGCCTTAGGACGCTGCCACGCCCAGCTCACTCAGAGAGACAGGCAGCGCAGGACAGCCTGGGCCGCAGGCCAGGGTCCCTCTGGGGTGACACTCCACGGACACAGACCTCTGGGTCTCCACGGGCAGTGGGCAGAACTGGCTTCGTGTGTGGAGTCACCTCTGGACACGGGGTTCTGCTGAGCGGGCGTAACAGCTGTGGTCTCTCCTCATGCTCGCAGCCGTTTTCAGCAAAGTTACACGAGACCTCGGATCCCGACAAGAGGCAGATGCTGGAGCGCCTGGAGCGCGCGGTGAGGCTGGCGGCGGAGCCGCTGGAGGAGCCGGCGCGGCGCGGCCTGACGGGGGAGGAGCTGGACGGCCGCGTGCAGGTGAGGCTGAGGTGGGTCCCGCCGGCCCCTCGCCTTTGCCCCACTGCCTTCAGGGAAACAGCAGGTGCTCTCGGGGCGGAGCGGGCTTCTCAAGGTGTTTCCCACACTCGCCGGGGACTCTGTCCAGCGTTGGCACTGGCAGCACCTGGGGCAGGCGGAGCGAGAGATGCCGGTGGGCCTGAGCTCCAGGGCCGCGGGGACCCGCTGGCCTTGAGCCTTCCCGGCGGCGGCCTTCTGCCCCTGAGGGCGGGCTCCGGGTGCCCGGCCTTCCTCCGGTCCTGACAGCCCTTCTCCTCTGCGCTGGCGCCCCCTGCTGGCCACTTGCAGAACCGCGGGAAGGACGCAGCCCCGGCGGCTGCGGCCGAGGGCGCGGACGTGTAAGGGGGTGCCTGCCTGCAGGGCCCCCCTCTTCTGGGGCCTCGCGGGGCAGGATGCTTGGTGTGCTTGTCCTGAGCTTCGTGAGGAGTCAGGCGCACGGGGTCTTGGGGACGAGGGCTTTCCCGTGGGCGTGCTTCTGAGATGGGCCACACGAGGTCCCGCCCTCCCTGCAGTGGACCCCTCGGGCCCAGCCGTTTATTTCTTCTCCTGGGAAGCTGGTTACATTTCCGTGTTACCAGCAGTGATGCTGGGAATTCTCTTCCCAACGATTCCAGTAAGGTCCTTTTTATTAAAATTGTGGTAAAATATGCATAACATACAGTTTACCACTTTAACCATTTTTAAGTACATGTGTTCACATTGTTGCGTAAACATCACCACCGTCCACCTCCAGAAGTTTTTTCGTCTTCCGAACCGGACGCTCTGTCCCCATGGAACACTCACTCCCCTCCCCTCCCCCAGCCCGGGCCCCACCGTCTGCTTTCCGCCCCCATGAATCTGGCTCCTCCAGGGACCTCATACAAGTGCGATCACACAGTGTTTGTCCTTTTGTGACTGGCTTATTTCACTCGGCAAACTGTCCTCCAGGTTCAGCCGCGTTGTAGCCTGTGTCAGAATGTCCTCTCTTCTTAAGACTGAGCACTGTTCCGTGATGTGGGTGGACCACGTTTTGTGTGTCCTGTCATCCTTTGATGAACCTTTGCGTTGTCTGTTGTGAATCATGCTGCTATAAACATGGGTGTGCAAGTATCTGTTCGAGTCCCCGCTTTTAATTCTTCTGTGGGTATACCCCCAAAAGCAGGTTGTACACCAATTCAACTTTTAATATTCTGAGGCACTGCCGTGCTGTTTTCCGTAGAGCACAGGGGTTCCAGTGTCTTCACATCCTTGTCAACCCCTGTGCTTTTCTGTTTTCCTGACTTTGCAGGACATTTGGTCCATGCCAAGAGGTCCTTGAAATTTGGTCCCATCCAAAACGTCCATGGTCCTATCTGGTCCATGCCAATAGTTTTAGATAGGACCACACTTCAAAGGCTTTTTGGTGTGGACCAAACGTCTTATGGACCAGATGTCTTACATGTAAATGTATCCTCCTACTAACATGCTTCCAGTGTCCTATTAATTTGCCTATACACCAGCACTTTGTGTTGCTGGGTTCGTTCCTTTTTATCAATGGAACCTATACTGTAAAGTGGTAATTACGGTGGTTTGAATTCGCATTTCTCCAACCTCTCCTGAGACTGAGTATCTTTTCACATGTTCACTTGCTGGCTGTAATTCTGCACATGCATCTTCTGTCCTGTTTTCCACTGGGCTGTTTGTCTTCTTACTGGTTTGTAAGCGTCCTTAGGTTTTCCCCAGACACTAATCCTTTCTCATTTAAATGTGTTGCAAGCACCTTCTCCTAATTTTTGGCTCTTCTTTTCACTTCCTTTTAATAACAGAGGGTCTTAGTTTTAATGTATTCAACTTTATCAGTTTTCCCTTTTATACTTGGCATTGTTGTGTCTTAAGAAATCTTTCTTGCCCTGAAACATGAATATATTCCCCAGTATTTTCTTCTAAGGATTTTAAAGTTGTACAGTTCACATTTAAGTCTCTGATCCCCCAGAATTAGTTTTTGTAAGTCGTGTGAGTAGAGATCCAATCCCCTCTCCCCTGCACAGATATGGGAGGCCCCCCTTTCCTCCGCCCCTTTCTGTCGTGTGTCGTGTCTCAGTTCTATTCCATAGGTCAGGTTATCCACCCTGTGTGAGTCTCACCGCGTCTGTCACCGATGCCTGGAGAGGTAGGAAGCCTCACCTTGTTTTTGTTCACCAGGTATGGTTTTCTTTTCTTTTTTTTTTTAAGATTTATTTATTTATTTAATTTATTTTCGGCTGCGTGGGGTCTTAGTTGCAGCACGTGGGATCTTTGGTTGCCGCACGTGGGCTTCTCTAGCTGTGGCATGCTGGTTTTCTCTCTCTAGTTGTGGCGCGCTGGCTCCAGGGTGTGTGGGCTCAGTAGTTATGGCTCACGGGCTTAGTTGCCCTGTGGCATGTGGGATCTTACTTCCCTGACCAGGGATTGAACCCACATCTCCTACATTGTAAGGCGGATTCTTTACCGCTGGACCGTCAGGGAAGTCCCTCCAGGTGTGTTTTGAATGCTCCTTGCTTGTCGAGTCCCATACAAGATACTGCTAGGGTTTTATTTATTTGTTTATTTACTTATTCATTTATATATGGCCGCGTTGGGTCTTCGTTGCTGCACGCGGGCTTTCTCTAGTTGCGGCGAGAGGGGGCTGCTCTTCATCGCGGTGCGCAGGCTTCTCATTGCGGTGACTTGTCTTGTTGCGGAGCACGGGCTCGAGGCACACAGGCTTCGTAGTTGTGGCACACAGGCAAAGTAGTTGTGGCTCGCGGGCTCTAGAGCGCAGGCTCAGTAGTTGTGGCGCACAGGCTTAGTTGCTCCGCGGCATGTGGGATCTTCCCGGACCGGGGCTTGAACCCGTGTCTCCTGCATTGGCAGGCGGATTCTCAACCGCTGCGCCACCAGGGAAGCCCTTCAATATTATATGTTGAAGGATCATTTCAGAGCTCCACCTTTGAATGTGTTGATCCTCTCTATTCTATTTCAAAAAAAATTTTTTTAAGAGTTTATTATTTTAGAGCAGTTTCAGGTTCACAGCAAAACAGAGGTTTCCTGTGTACCCCCCACCCCACCCCCATACACACAGAGCCACACCCACTGTCAGCATCCCCCCAGAGCAGTATGTTTGTTACAGCTGGTGAGCCTACACTGACACGCTGTCATCACCCACACGACAGTTTACATTAGGGTTCTGTCTTGGTGTTGTGCATTCTGTGGGTTTGGACAAATGTATAGTGATGCGTTATCTGCCCTTAGAGTCTCTTCCACACAGTAGCTTCCTTGCCCTAAACATCCTCTGTGCGTCGCCGGTTCACCCTTCTTGACCCCAGCACCTGGTAACCACTGATCCTTTTACTGTCTTTGTAGTTTTGCCTTTTCTGAATTTCACAGAGTTGGAATCATGCAGTATGTGCCCAGCTCAGATTGGCTTCTTTCACTTAGTAATGTGAATTTAAGGTTCCTCCGTGTCTTTTCACGGCCTGATAGCTCACTTCTCTGTAGCACTGAAGGTTAGTTCATTGTCTGGACGGACCACAGCGTATTTACGCACTCACCCACTGAAGGGCATCTTGGCTGCTTCCAAGTTTTAGCAATTAGGCATAAAGCTTCTGTAAACATCCATGTGCAGGTTTTTGTGTGGACATAAGTTTTCACCTCTTTTGGGTAATTACCAAGGAGCATAACTGCTGTATCTTGTGTTGAGAGTAGGTTTAATTTTTTTTTTTTTTTGGCAGTACGCGGGCCTCTCACTGCTGTGGCCTCTCCCGTTGCGGAGCACAGGCTCCGGACGCACAGGCTCAGCGGCCATGGCTCACGGGCCCAGCCGCTCCGCGGCACGTGGGATCCTCCTGGACCGGGGCCCGAACCCGCGTCCCCTGCATTGGCAGGTGGACCCTCAACCACTGCGCCACCAGGGAAGCCCCTAATTGTTGAAGAAACCGCCAAACTGTCCCCCAAAGTGGCTGCACCATTTTCCACTCCCACCAGTGGTGGATGAGAGTTCCCGTTGCTCCAGATCCTCCCCAGCCTTTGGTGTTGTCAGCGTTGCAGATTTTGGCCATTGAAATAATGTACGGAGTATCTCGTTGTTTTAATTTGCATTTCCTTGATGACACACGATGTGGAGCATCTCTTGATATTTATTTGCCATCTTTATGTCTTCTTTGGTGAGGTGTCTGTTAATGTCTTTGGACCTTTTTTTCATCAGGTTGTTTTCTTATTGTTGAGTTTTGAGAGTTCTTTGTATATTTTGGATAACAGTCCTTTATCAGATGTGTCTTTTGCAAATATTTTCTTCCGGTGTGTGGCTTGTCTTTTCATTCTCTTGACAGTGTCTTTCCCAGAGCAGAAGTTTTTAATGGTGATAAAGTCCAGCTTATCAGTTCTTTTCTTTCATGGATCATGCATTTGGTATCGTGTGGAAGAAGTCATTGCCAAAGCCAAGGTCATCTTTGAAGGGCGTAAGGTCTTGGTCTAGATTCATGGTTTTTGCATGTGATGCCCAGTTGTTAAGCACAGTTTGTTGAAACTGTTTTTGCTCCTTTGCTCCTTTGTCAAAGAACAGTTGGCTGTATTTATATGAGTCTGTTTCTGGGCTCTGTTCTGTTCCATTGCTCTGTTTGTCTGTTCTTTCACCAACGCCACACTGTCCTGATTACGGTAGCTTTACAGTAAGTCTTGAAGTCGTGGAGTGTCAGTCCTCCACCTTTGTTCTCCTTCAATATTGTGTTGGCTATTCTGGGTCTTTTGCCTCCTCTCCATATACACTTTTTTAAAAAAAATATTTATCTATTTATTTATTTGGCTGCGCCGGGTCTTGGACGCGGCGTGTATGATCTTTTAGTTGCGGCATGCATGTGGGATCTAGTTCCCCAGCCAGGAATCAAACCCGGGCCCCCTGCATTGGGAGCGTGGAATCTCAGCCACTGGACCACCAGGGAAGTCCCTCCATGTACACTTTAGAATCAGTTTGTCAATATCCATAAAATAACTCGATAGGATTTTCATTAGGATTGAATCTAATCTACAAATCAAGCTGGGAGGAACTGACACCTTGACAGTATTAAACCTTCCTATCCCCAAACATGAAATGTCTCTCCATTTCTTTCATCAGAGTTTTGTAGTTTTCCTCATGTAGATCTTGTACATATTTTGAAGGGCATATATGTGAGTGTTACATTTCGGATGCTGATGTAAATGGTATTGTGGTTTTAATTTCAAATTCCACTTCTTATTTCCTGGCCTATAGTTTTGTCTTCTTTCCCAGTCAATATACAGACGGTCCCCGACCTCTGACAGTTTGACTTAGGATTCTTTGGCTTTACGATGGTGCAAAAGCAATAAACATTCAGTAGAAACCATACTTTGAATTTTGATCTTCTCCTGGGCTAGCGGTATGCAGTCCAGTACTCTCTCGGGATGCGGGGCACCAGCAGTGAGCCTCAGATCTCCAGGGTAAACAACTGACACACTTACAGTTACACTGTGCCCAGACAACCATTTTGTTTTTCACTTTCAGAACGGTATTCAGTACATTACATGAGATATTTCAACACTTAATTATAAAATAGGATTGGTGTTAGATGATTTTTCCCAACTGTAGCCTAATGTATTCTGAGCACATTTAAGGTAGGCTAGGCTAAGCTATGATGTTGGGTAGATTAGGTGTATTAAATGCACTTTCAGCTTAATGATATTTTCAACTTACGATGGGCTTATAATCCTGTATAATCCTCTTTTTTTGCCCTTTTCTTGCCTTATTGCATTAGCAAGGACTTCCAGTATGATGTTGGAGGGGCCATCTCGCATTATACCTCATCTTAGTGGAAAAGCTTCCGAGTTCTCAGCATTAAGTCTGATGTTAGCTCTAGGCTTTTTGTAGCTGTTTTTTGTTGGTTTGTTTATTGAGTTGACGAAGTTCCCCTCTATTCATTTACTGAGAGTTTTTATCATGAATGGGTGTTGCATTTTGTCAGATGCTTTTTCTGCATCTATTGGTATGACCTTGTGGTTTTTCTTTTTTAGTCTGTTGATGTGATGATATACATTAATTGATTTTATAAAGTAGAACCAGCCTTACGTACTTGTGATAAATTTCACTTGCTTGTGGTATATAATTCTTTTTATACTTTTGTGGATTCAATGTGGTAAATTTTGTTAAGGATTTTGCATCTGTATTCATGAGAATTTTTTTTTTTTTGCGGCACACGGGCCTCTCACCGCTGTGGCCTCTCCCGCTGCGGAGCACAGGCTCCGGACGCGCATGCTCAGCAGCCATGGCTCATGGGCCCAGCCGCTCCGCGGCATGTGGGATCTTCCCGGACCGGGACACGAACCCGTGTCCCCTGCATCGGCAGGCGGACTCTCAACCACGGCGCCACCAGGGAAGCCCTTAGTATTTATTTACTTATTTATTTATGTATTTATTTTGGCTGTGCCGAGTCTTAGTCGCGACAAGTGGGATCTCTGTTCTGTTTTTTTTTTTTGTCAGCCTCTGAGAACAAAGGCTTTTTGGTTTTCAGTTTTGGAGGCTGCTACTGAGATCTCCTCAGGCTCAGAGACTCCTTCCTCAGTCATGTCCAGTCAGGCCCATCAGAGACGTTCTTCATTTTCATTTAGGCGCTTTCACCTCTAGCATCTCTGTTTGGTCCTGTCTTGGGATTTCCGTCTCTCTGCTTACATTCGCCACCTGGCTTTGCGCGCTGCCTGCTTTGTCCACTAGGGCCCTTAGCGTATCGGTCACGGTTGTTTTAAATCCCTGGTCTGATAATCCCAGGATCCCTGCCACGTCTGGTCCTGTTGCTCTCTCTGTCTTCAGAAAAGTGGCGTTTCGGCTCTCGGTACGGCTTGTGATTTGTTTTCATGATAGTTAGTACATGATGTACTGGGTAGAAGGAGCTGCTGTCAGTAGTCGTGTGGCGAGGTGTGGGGAGGACGCCCTCTGTGGTCCTGTGATGGGTCTCAGTCCTTCAGTGGCCTGTGCCCGTGGCCTGTGAACATCACAGGTGTTTCTGGGTTTCTCCTCCCCTCCCCCTTAGATGGGGCAGGATGTGTGGAGGGGCCTGGAGGTGGACGTTTTCCTCTCCCAGGTCAGTTAGGCTCTGCTAGAACCCCAGCAGCTTAGGTTCTGGTTAGCCGGTTCCTCCTGAGGGCAGCCTTGTTAAGAACAGAATGCTTTGTCATATTTCAGAGCAGTTCCTTTTCCTCTCCCCCTGCCGGAAGCATGAGGGGATTTTTCTCCAATATTTACTGTGAGTAACCGTCAGGGCTCCTAGAGGTAAATCTCACAAATTTGTGGGGCTGGGTCGCCCTGGAGTTTTGATCTCGGACTCGTCCACACCGAGCCTCCAGCGGGTGGTCAGTTTCAGTTCCGGCCTCCCTGCCCGTCACTGGGTCCCAGGCACTTTCTGCCCCGGTAAGTGGCGGTTCTCTGTACCTGCCCGTCTCTCTCCAGTTCTCGGGGGGCAGTTTGC